TGTTTGTTTCTCTGTTTTGCTGTTCTTCCAGTTCCTTTACTTAATATAGTTTTCCCTGATAGTATTCACTTTCTTCTGTTGCTTTTGAGTCTTAAAACCTAGTAGCCATTCTTTTCTTTAAGGTGACTTAGGTTGTTATGGTTTGTGTCTCGATGTCCCACAAAGTGTCATGCAGAGGAGGTGGGACTTCCATTTTCAGAGGTGGTTGAACCTGGAATGTGTGATGCTGGGGTTCAGGGCATGTGGTTACTAAACCATTCATGTGAGTGATTGGTTTGGCACCACCCTCATCCCAGAAGTCTGGAAGATGCTGTTAACCTCATGATGCCTTTGCTACTGTGTGGGCGCCATGTTGTTTCTCCTGTGCCATCCACCCTGCTTTGGAGCCAGCTGATTATGGACTAAACCTCCATGAGCTGTGAGCCAAATAAACCCCTCCTCTCCAGCTTTGGGTGTCGGGCATTTTGTCTCACCAATGAAAGAATAATAATTAACACAGGTCATCCAGTAGGTATTATTTCTAGTTTTAATTTTTTTCCTTCTACTTGCAACATATTGGAAAATAACTCACCCAGTCTTCCTGTCCCCCAAGAGTAGACTTGTTCCATTCTTTCAGAGTGATTAGAAGAAAATTCTTAAAAACAATCAGCATCTGTCTGTTAGTAATAATATGAAGTGTATGTATGGGGGAGATTGCTGATGTTGCCGTCTTTGTCTCCCACCGATGCTCCTTGGGACAGGAAGGGGAATTCAGATGAAGTTCCTGGGCTTGAAATGAGGAAGAAGAGTGCTTTTCCTGACCTGGGGTTGAGAAGTAGCCTCGGGGTTAATTATAGGAAGTGCAGTGTTCAGGAATTTTTGGATTGATGTAGACTTGGAATTCTAATCAAGGACTCTCACCCACACACAGCTTTGTGTGAATGTCGAGCTCTCCAGGTGTCTAACCAACCAGGCCTCCCGCCTCCTCTCTGGAAAGGACAACTCCATTCCTCTACCTGTGCAGGCCTAGCATGGGGGCGGCACCCTTGACACGCACTCCTACCCCTAGTCCAGGAGCAGATCCTGTCGGCCTGGTATTCGAGATGATGCCTCATTACTGCCTCTACTGCTACATGGTGCAAGTCGCAGCATTTCTCTGCCACTCCATTACAGAAGCTTTCTCATCGGCCTCTTAAGACATCTAGCTCAGTGATCTTCTTGTGACGTTCTTAATATCACTAAGAAATTATTAAAGAATGGTAGAATTGGAAAAACCATGATTTGTGTACCCTCGGAGGGAGCAGCGGGCGTGAGTATCAGTAGCTGTCAAAACCGTTAGGTGCCAGGTGGAACACAACTTCCGGTGGGTAGGTCAGGCTGACAGTGCCTGAACCTCCATGTCCGAAGAGGAGGGGAAGGTTCCTCCTGATCTGATTCTGCAGAAGACTGCATGTGAAGAACTTGGCTTCAAAAATAAATCTTAGTCTAATCATGGTTTTAAATCCAATCCTGCATTTGCAGGAAATACAGGGGAAACAGGAAGAGGAACACCAAGAGGAAAACTAACAGCCAAACCCAGAAAGTGAGAAATTCTCCAGGACAAATGACTGCAGGAAAACAGGAGTGGCGAGGGAAGGACGGTGTGACCGACACAGAGAGGTCTGAACAGTCAGGCAAACCACACACTGCCCCTCTCCAGCTCCAGTTCAGGCCCACTGTGTACAGAAAGAGCATAGGGAACGGACCACGTGAGATGACTTAAGGAATCATTTCTAATTTCGCTAGGTGCAACAACACGGTACTAGGCGTTTAAGGTTCTTAGCAATTACAAGTGCAAACTGAGATAAGGATAACAACAGGTCTGCCCCCGCCCAGAGCATTCCGCCAGAAGAAAACAGGACCTGGTATCAGTGAAAAAAAATGAAAATGGTAACTTTTTCAGCAATGAGGCATGTGGCAAAGTCTGACATTCTTCTGTTTTTGTGCATATTTGAAAGTTCTCGTGATTGAAGTGTTGTTGAAAAGTTAATGTCAAAACCCCAAACCCGGGGCTGGGGATTTAGCTCAGTGGTGCCACCACCTGCCTCACAAGCACAAGGTCCCGAGTTCGATCCCCAGTACCAAAACAAAAAACCCAAACTCTTCTGTGTGACTGCGGCTACAAGGCTGGCCTGGCTGCTGCCCCTCCTCGCTTCTGCCACCTTTTTCTGTCCCAGCCATTCGGACCATTTGCTTTTCATCGATTTAGAAATCTTTTCCTTCAAATATCTCTGGTAGATTTCTTTGGGATCTTTGTTCCTATTATACTTGTTTGGGAGTTTATAACATAAGGTCTCACTGTGTGGTCCAGCTTGGTCTTGCATCCTCCTGTCTCAGCCTCCAAATGTTGGGCCAACAGGCTTGCGCTACCAGGCCCAGCTCCAGTTGTGCTGAACAGAAAGCCCTGCCTGAGAGCCTGCAACCCCACCGCCCACGCCTTCTCTGAGCGCTGGAGCCTTGCTCAGCTTGCTGCAGGCTGTGGCCAGCTCCTCGAGCTGCGAAGAGCTGTTAAAGTACAGGTCTGAGGCCGTGTTTAGTGCCCATCCTCCTTTGATCTCCCTCGCTGCCCAGAACCAGCCCCGAGGACTCGCAGGCTCCTCGCAGGTTCCTGGCTCCAGGGTGAGCCCACGGCACTGGGCACTCTGCCTTGCACAGCCCGAAACGTGAAGAATGCTAGGCAGTTACTGGGTGTAGCTCTGAAATCTGAAATACTTGCAAACTGGGCTTTTGCTTAAAATATGTATTACATAGAAAAATATGTGAAGAGCAGTGGTTTTTATACGGCTGAAAGTTGACAAAGCATCCATGACCAAATGTAATGCTCAGCACACCTGTCTGGTGGATTCTGTTCAGGTGCCTGCAGTATTTGCCTGAGTGGAAATAAACATCTATAATTTACATTACTTCTCCACTTACTTTCACCTAAGTCCAGGTTAAAGCTTTTCTGCTGAAAACATTGCCCCCGAGTTTGCCAAGCTGAATGTTTAGCCTCTCACCGTTATCTTTAGCACTTACGGTAGCAGCAGTCAATAGATTTCCTTTGTGAGAAAGGTCTCAGTCTATCTCAGAAGGCAAGTTGGAATCGCTTTCTGAACTCCCCTGCTTTTCTGTTCATCTTCCGTTTTAATCGTTCTGTTTACTGACGGTAGGGCCAGAAGCCCGCGCCGAGCTGTGGTGTGTGGAGGGTGGCTCTCGTACGGACACGCGGTGTCTCCGAAATAAGCAGAGTCTGGCAGGCAGGCGCAGCTGGTCCCTAGAGAGCCTTCGGTGCTGTCTGGGGCAGGTTGTTAGGACGCGTAGGCCCAGCTGCTGCCCCTGGAGAGTGAAGCCCTCCCCGCCGTTTCCGGATAATCCCAAGCCTGCGTCTGCGGTGACCGGCGTGCCCTCGGATGTTGGATGTGGACCAAGGGACGGCCGGGGACACTTGGAGCACACCGCCTCTGGCTTCTGCCGACGTGATGGATACACATCCACGTCAGCGACGAACCCCGAGCGCACGAAGGGCCGGGCCACGTTACCTCCCCGGGGGCACAGTTGCACTTAGCTTTGGACCTTGTTTTCACTGATGCCCGATACTGATACTCGGCTACTAGGTGTTGAACTTTACTCAGTATCCACCCAGGAAGACTGGGAAGGGAGACGGTAGTCAGACCGCCGTTTCATTCGGGACAGAGAGTGACGGTTGCCCGAAGCAGGGATCCCGAGGGCAGGCGCCGTGTAAAAGCTGCCAAGCTGGATACAAGAATGCGCACCCACTTAATTTTCTAGTGTTGGCAGTGTATACATAGTAATATGAAATCACAGGTTTAAAACTGAAAAGAAAGCATACATTTCATCCGAATCACCGACACACACGCAGGACCGCAGGGTCCCCACCAGCCTTCGGCGGAGCAGGAAGTTGCCCTGTGCCCTCCTCCACCCCACGCCTGGGGCCAAGGAAGCGCTGCGGTCTGCCCAGACCTGCCTGAGGAAGGAGGGTCGTGTAGGTGCTGCGCTTGTCCCCGAGGTCGTGGAAGGATAGCGGGGAATCTGCTTTGCCCGGGGATCAGGAATACCTCACATCTCCCAGCAGACAGAAGACATTGCAGCAGGAAAAAACAGCCAGCTACAGTTTCATTGTTGTGTTTATGATTTGGTCATAACAACATGGCCTTGCCTTGCACTAACCTGTCAGCTCCTTCCACGCGCACACACAACACACACGCGGAGTGTTCACACCTGCCCTAATCCCCGGCACTTCCAGAAAGCGGTGCCTTCTGTGCCGGAGTCCTGACAGCAGGGACCCTATGTGTGCCAGGAGGTCCCTCGAGGCAGGACTCCAGAACTTTGGCGGGTAGCAGTGAGGCTTTGTACCCCCTGCCTGACCCTTCGGTGCTGGGGGAGAGGCAGGCACACTGCTGGGGCGACAGTAATGACGTGTGGGACTTGGCGCAGGTCTCTTACAAGAGCAGGAGGGACCCATTAAAATAACAGTATTTGGCCCTTGTTGAAAACGTAAGACTATTTGCTTGAGGTGCATATACACTGTTTTTCTTCTCATTTGTGAGGGTGTGGGGAGAAGTGACTAAAAGGTTTATGTAGATATATATGGCCCCACTGTCTAGAGGTAACTAGATTTTTGATGATGTGCGTGTTTAACAAAATTAAGGACATATTCATCATATATTATTTAACACTATTTTTAACAAGATAGTTTTCTTGATACAGTAAACATGAGATAGATTTCAAAATATAAGTCCATTCTGTTATAGGTAGTTATCTAAGTAAATTTACTGAAGGTTTGATATAGGTATCAAACACATAATGAATTTTTTAAATCTAGGCTATTCAGAGGTGGGTGTGGTTCCTTTTTGTAAATATAAGGTACTGTAAACTTGAGAAGGTAAAGTCACCTTCAAAGAAATACTTTGATGCCATCACGTTAATTCGTTTTAGAGCTGGTCATGACTTTTTTAAAGTTGTTTCTCTGTTGTTCTCCCCAGATCTAAGTACTTTCGAACCTGCCCAAGGGGTGAGCACTTGACGATAGAGGTGAGTCCTGAGTTGGAGGGTGAAGGTGACCCTAGGGGCTTCCTTGTCCTGTAACAAAGAGGAAACGATCCAGGCCGCACTCAGCACAGGTTGTTGTGTTTCCGTCCCATTGATTCTGGGAAGGCAGCAGGTGAGGCTTGGTCTCACCCTCGGGGCCCCTCTGCCTGTCCCTGGCTCCCCGGGGCAGCACTTCTGCTGATGGAGGTCACTTTCCAGGAGGCCGGGCACAGTCAGAGCAGCAGCCACTGTAAGCAGCCCCACGGCTATGCAAACAGCAGAAGCCAAGGTCCTCAGCCCAACCCTGCGTACACTCTGGGGAATGCTGTGCTCTCTCCTGACAGGTGCTGCTCACATTGTTTTATGGGTGAGAAATCAGCAGCTTAGACAAATGGAGATTTGGTCCATAATATACAATCTACGAGCAGCAGAAAATACGTTTCAGTCCAACACTCTGGCTCCAGAGCTTGGCCTTTGTACTTCACTCCCTTCTGTATTAAATAAATGGAAGCAAGTAAACTAGGAAGTTGGTTTTTAAGCAGTCAGGAGCCAATACAAAAAAAGGAGCTAAATTGAATAAGTTTGAACAGTTTTGTTATCCCCTTAGATTATTGTGTTCTCTAAACATTTTGATTCACGTGAACAGTATTAACATTAAAACATGTTTTTCTCTCTTTCAAGTGGTTACTACATTATTTGTACTTAAAATATAGGTAATTTAATAGTATAATTCAGTAGTAGTGATTTCCCACTAGGTCATGTGACATAATAGCGTTCATCACATTCCAATCAAATTTTCACATTCCTGTCCCTAGGAAGACATTGTGTTTGGGCAGAGTAAATACCATCTAGTAGACTGAGTAAATAAATAATGATATGAATGGACTGATAAATGTAAACATTCAGAGAAATTTTTATTTGGATACCTTTTAGTCCCTATTTCTTAATTTTCCTCTTTATGATATTAGTTTGTTCTGAACTCAACTGAAGTGGAAAATTCTGGTTTTGTGAGTTAAAATCCATGTGTGAAATAGTCAATTCAGATGGTAGTTTCTGCTTTTTGTTGAAAAATGCCATAAATTAAAACAGTGTACATTTGCCTTGGCTATTTTGTAAGACTGTTGTATATATCAAGCTAGCAGACATATAAAAGGGCACTTAAGAACTGCATCTTATGAAAATAAAATTATTATTTTTAAGGTAAAAAAGTAACAATATCTTGTTAGACAAATATCCCTCCTGACACTATTTTCTTGTTGTTTCAGTTTGAGAATCTAGTAGAAAGTGATGAAGTAAGTATTTCCATTGTGATACAGAACTCATGTTTGTTATTCTCATTGGTTCTAACAATTTTTAAGTTTTATTTTAGAATTTTTAAAATTTTTCTAATTTATCATTTTTTAATGTTTACTAATTTATAGTTGCAAAGATTCACAATTTTATACTATATAAGGTACATACCTACACAAAAGTTTTAAAGCCTTTTCTAGAACTCAAGAAACTTCCAAAAGAGGTACTTCTAACCTCTTTCCCTTGAATAGAAAAAATACGTGAACTAGCTAGTTCAAGGACACGTTGGGTAACCATAGTTCACATGGATTTCTGGGGTGTGGTTTATGCCCGTTCGTTCTATAATCCATTTCTGCCTTTAGCCGTCTCTCTTAATGTTGATTTTCTGCATCTTATTTCATCTAAAACTCACTTTTAAGATGTATACTAAGTACAGAAATGTTAAAAGATGGGGAAAGGTACACTTTAGAACCAGTGAAATGTGGTGTGTATTTCTTACACACAGACATAGTTGGGAGAGCTTTTGTGTACGTGCTGATTTCCAGCTTCACCAAACTGATTCATGAGTGTTGCAGATCACTAACCCTCCCTGAGGCCTCCTCTCTACGTCTCTCCAAAGCTTAGGCTAAGTGCTGCAAGCTTTGGCTTTGGCTTTGGCTTTTTTCTCCCCTGAGGAAAGAGAAATTCATGATACTTTTTTTCCTTTTTCCTTTTTTTTGTACTGGGGATCGAACTCGGAGCCTTGCATTTTCAAGGCAAGTGGTGGCACAACTAAGCTAAATCCCCAGCCCCATAAACACTTTTTTTTTTTAATTAAATTACTCTTTAGCCTAGTGTTTCCCAGACTGTGTACAAAATATTAGTCTCGATATATGTTAGCATGTAACAGGTTCTTAGAAGTATCATTAAACAAAAGTATTTAACTTGTTCAACTGACCATTTCCTAAATCAATTTGGTATAAATCTTTTTTAAAAGCTTGCATATTTATTATTTGGTAGGTCATATTTGGAAAACAATCATAGCTTTTCGTTTTCCCTATGAAATAACACCCAAAGTTTTATAAGTTTTAGTCTCTTCCTGTCTCGAAGATCACTTTCATCTCCATGTCTTTCTTTAAAGTAAGCAGAAGGGCCGGGGATTTAGCTCAGCGGTTTGTTGTCCTGCCTTGCAAGCGCACGGACCCCAGTTCAGTCCTCGGTACCAAAATAAAACAAAACAAAACAAAAATAAAGTAAGCAGATACTGGACAAATTTTTAAAGCTTCTGATGAATAAGAGCTCTTTCAGCCTCCAAAGTAGTTAATCTCAGCATCAAAGGACTTGCAGTTTCATGTTTTTCCTAGGCTGTTTTTTGTTAGTTAGGGTTCTTTTTTCTTTGCACCTATTTTTACTAACCAATCTTTTCATCTCTTGGTTCACATTTCGTGTGTGGTTTACTTGAATGTCATTCCGTTCCATAATTCTGTTTCCTGAATTAGTTTGGACTGTTTAGGGTTTTATTCCTGCTGTTAACTGAGCCGTGTATTTTAGCGGCCCTGTGTCCCTAGCCCTGTTTTATGCTTGCTCCTTTACCCGGCTCGGTCACTCCGTACAGGGTCCCCGGCTCTAACACAGCAGTGTGTGGTGCCCCTGCCTCTCCCACTGCCCAGGCCCAGACGCTGGGCGGAGCTGTGTCTGTCCTCCACTGGGTACATGATGCTGGCCAGGTAAACAGTAAACTAGGTTTTATCAGTGAAAAATAGTACAGTGTTAAAGTTTTTTTTTTTTTTTTTTAATTTCTAACACTTACTAATGAAAAAACTAAGTCAGTCCAAAATTTTTTGTTTGAACGGGAATTTTATTGTTTTCCTTAATTCAGGTAGCAAAATTTCTTTAATTGTTTTCATTAATTTTTGTACAGGGAGAGAGCCCAGGAAGCAGCCATAGGTAAGATTTTAAAAAACAAACAAACAAAACTTCTATGTAAACTGTGAATTTTCTAAAAATTCAGATTTTATCACTTGCTTTTCTAAGTTTTTCAACTTTATGCCCCCCTTGTAACACTCTAAAACTTGTTCTACTAATCAAAAGACTTTTGTCAACTAAAACCTTGATAGTGTAAGTAACCTTCTAATACTCTGTTAAAATTGCATGTCCTACTTATAAAAGACACATTAGTCTTTAACTCAAAAGAAAATGTTCATGTGCCGTTTCATGTTTGGATTACATACCTTACTGTTTCAGTTTAGCAAACATTTCTTAAGTAACAGTCGTGTGCCCGGCATTGTGCCAGACCCTGGGATTTAAACATCAGACACAGTTTCTACATTAGGGGAGAGAACACCGTGGTCTTGAAATAGAACCCAGAGATGCTATTCAGTGAGGTGGTGAAGCGATTACAGAACTCTAGGAAACCCTAGAAGAGAGGGCTTGCCCAGAACATACAGGAAGAGGTTGCCCAAGGAGGCCCCTGCTCTGGCAGATGCCACTGGTGCTGATGGAGGAGAGCGTCCAACAGACACCGGTGTGGCGAGTGAAGGGTGGGTGCCAGGCAGGGGGGCTGTGTGGTGCCAGCAGTTGGCACAGGGCACGTGGGGTGCTGACCTCTGCTGGCTGAGGCCATGCTGCTGGGCAGCAGAAGGGTCATGCGGGGATGGTCCGAGGGCAGGGTGAGTGTGGGAGTGAGCGGGGTGCTCAGACAGGCATGTGTCAGTAAGGCCAGGAGACTGGCTGGCTGGGTGGCCCTGGAGGAAAGGGCAGGCCAGGGCCTGGGAGGCCAGAGTGCAGGGCAGGGTGAACAGGGGAGGCTGGTATCAGGCTGAGATGGGAACTCTTCGAGCACAGCCAGGGGAATCCGCATTTCTTACAAATCGGCTGTGGAACAAAATAAAAAACCTGCACCCAAAGTTGCATTACAATGTATACTTCTAACAACTAGGATCAGTCGGGTTAAGACAGTAAACTTGCAGAATTTCACTGGCTTGAGGTCCCCCCCCCTGTTTTTTTATCTCTAGGCCTCTAACAGAGGAAGAAATTATTGACCTACGAGAGAGGCATTATGATTCTCTTGCTGAAAAACAGAAAGATCTTGATAAGAAAATCCAGAAAGAGGTAAATAGTGTTATCATAAAGCCTGTTCTGTATAAGGGAGAGTTGTCATTAAATAGTGTATCGCCTATAGTTATTAGGCCTGTATTTAGATGTATACAAATAAAAATGACTTAAAAGTGAAAAATTACCCCATCCCATTATAATTTTTTTGTTTGGCTTAATTTATCAGAGATTTTATGTGCCAAAAAATTAAAATAGTACATTCTTTTAAGAATAGTTTGTTAATTTGTAAGTATGGGATACTAGCAAGAATATCTACCTTTGTGTTTAAAACCAACTTTTAAAATAAATACTGTTTCACAATAAGTGGTATTTATTTTAAGTTTTTGTTTGTCTTGTGTTTATTTGTTCTTGATGGACCAAGTACTTCTAACAATCATAAACATTATATTTATTTAATGTATTTATGGAAATAGCCTGCAACTACAGTTTATCACTAAACTAACTGGAATTAGCCGTATGCATCATACATTTAAAAAGTTATTTTAATACCAGTTGGTAATTTCAAACATCCTAACTTAAAGCCACACAATGGATACTAAAATTATTCTAAAATAAATGTCAGAATTTGATATTTATGTTAAATTTGACATGCAGTAACTCACTAATGCAGCATGTTATAAATAGCAAGAATTTAAATTTGAGCATAATTGTTCAGTAGTTTAATGGTAATAAAATTGAGGCACGTGTGTTAGTATCCGTTAGATGGAGAGACATGGACTTTGTAAAAGTTCAGTTCATTTTGGGGACAGGGATATAATTGGCCTTAGTTTTAAAGATCTTTGACCGAGGAGGGCCAAAACCATTAACCTGATGAAGATGGTGGGCATTGGAATGATTGTTGAAAATGAAGATCATTGCAAACTCTAGAGAAAGAAACAGAATATATTTTTATGTTAGATGATGCTGTTTCAAAACTCACTTTTCTTACTCAATTTACCATCTGGGTCATTTTATAAAAGGAGGAACTGAGACAAAAACATCGATTCTGATATGCTTTGTAACAATCAATTATTTTTTTAATGATTTATTTTTTATTTTAATAATAGAGACATTTTCTCTTTAGAGCAGCTAGACAGGTTCTGGTTTTTGTTAATCCTTATCGTTTTGTTCATGCACAGTTAGCCTTACAAGAAGAGAAGTTAAGACTAGAAGAAGAAGCTTTATACGCTGCACAGCGTGAAGCAGCCAGGGCAGCAAAGCAGCGAAAGCTCGCGGAGGTGAGGGGGGAGACCCCAGCACACACCAGGGCTGCTTCTCCTGATGTTCTCGGACAGATCCTAGTGGGGACTTTTTCCCTGGAGTGAAGGGCTTCTTGCTTACCAGTGAATGCATTGATGCACTTATTCTTAGGTATTTCAAAGACAAATGGAGCAATATTTAACCACTGGAAATACCATGAAATTACGTTTGATATAGAATGCTACTTTAAAACAAAAGCCAATTCCTGTTTATCCTACAGGTAAATGTTAGTGCTCTAAAATTCACTATATTCTTTTGGAAAATAAATACACTTTTGGAGGAAATGTGTTTAAAAACTACCTTGAAATATACTTTCCAAAGTATATTGTACTGAATTTTTGAGGATTTTTTAAAGCAATTCCCTGACTTGCTAGAATTTCTTGCACGTGCTTCTAGCATCAGAGGAGCTGTACACGTTTGCCCCGCGGGGGTAGTTTCACACCTCACCTTTACTCCTCTTGTGCCTTGAGAGCCAGAGTGTGGGTCTTGAGAAGTCTTCGGCGGTCACCAAGAAGGTAGCGGGCTCCCTGTGGTACCTGGCCGAGGGGAGCGTGGCCTCGGCCCGCTCCTGGCAGCTGCGGAGCCCAGCCCCAGTGTTGGGCGCCGCTCCCAGAAGCTAACCTGCGCCTCTCTCCCTCCGTCTGGGGAATGGCAGCGTCTTTCATCTCCGTGCTGCAGGGGGCTGGGGACCGAGAAGCAGCGGTCCCGAGCCCCGCAGCTAATACATAGCGGAGCCGGCACGCAGGCCGATCTTGGTGGTCCTGCGTGTAGCATCGTCCTCCCGCTTCGCCTGCGTGGTTTCAGAGCATTACCCGGAGCTGCAGAAGTCACATGCACACCTAGGCTGAGAGGGGCCGAGGAGTCGTGTCTGTCGTGTGGTTGTGTTATCTTTCTGTGAACTGTCCTCTTCCTCCCTGCTCTTGTGTGCGTGTGTGTGTTTGAGGGGTGTTCAGCACCTAGATTATACGGAGAAGTACCTCATTTATTTTTAGGGTGTTCTAGATAGTGGAAAAGTTTAAAGATTAACTTTTGCCTTCTAAAAAGTAAAAATGGTTTTGTGAGGCTTTCTTGGTTATAACAGGTGCTGTTTCTACTATAATAAATTCTCTGTTGCTGCCCTTAGAGACTTGAGTGTCTCATGAAGTATCTATTTGCATGGTTTCCTGCTTTCTCGCTTCCTGACTAAATATTCGTGTAGGAACATACAGTATGTTCCCGTACAGTATGCTTACACACAAACTCACACGCACACATCCCAATTCATTTGTTTTTCATCCTGAGCCTCAACTTGCTAGGACAGTAACATAGGCATCTGTGAGTCCTGGAAGAGGAGACAGGTAAAAGCCATGCCTGGGAAACATAGCTAGTAACTGGCGGTCTTCTCACTCCCGTCAGAGGCCGGAGAGACCGGTTGTCATCATTTCTGGCTCAGTCTTTGGTTGATTCCTCTTAATTGACACTGACTAGAATTCAGGTGCTGCTTTATCTGTTCCTTTCCTACCCCTCATCCTTCCGGTTACCAGGAAGTGCTTAGGTGTGCTGAGAGTACTGAGGGTGCCAGTTCATATCTGTTCGAAAGTTATCTTTTTAAACCCTACGAGCAGCCTAAGTACTTTGGACTTAGACACTGATAAATGAAGAAAAATTCTGTCTGCAAATACTGATGTCAACGTGAATAGTGATGAGTTGAAGGAAAAACTTCAACAGAATAACCTTTTGCTCTTAGAAACTAGAAAAAAACTTATCAGCATTGCATGAGTGGTTTTTAAAAGTATAGTTTTGCGATAGAGTGACTTTCATTTTATTATGTTTCCAAAGCAAGGAAGGCAGAGAGTTGTACATCAGTACCATCCCTCCGGCAATGGCGACCATCAGAGGTAAATAGCGAATGACTCTGCTCCTCTTCCCTGTGTGGTAGAAAATGTTATTTCCAAAGAGAACGCAGTTCACCTGGGGCATTCAAGACTGTCCAGTTTGTGTGATCCCTAAGAGTCATTTCTCCTCCAGGGCTGGAGGTGTGCTTAGCATGCACAAGGCTTGGGTTCAATCCCCAGCACAAACGAAACAAAAAATACACTGCTCTTCCACGACTGTCTCGGAAAGTACAGACAGCGTGTTTCTTTAGGTTGAGAAGTGGCCATTTATTTAAATTGACTTCAGTGTGTCTCTGCGAGTACGCACATCTTCCGCCTGAAGTGACGCAGTAGCCAGCCAGCCTCGGGTAAGGCGTGTGTAACCTGAGCTGTGTGTATTCTCCTCAGCCTCTGTCCTTATGACAAAGTTGATGTGATTGTTTACAGGAAGACACATTTCAGTGTCACATTTTCACATGTAGCCAACTCAGAGAAGCACAGCTGAGCTTTAGGGTTTTGAGCGGGGAGCGGGTACTGGGGATCGAACTCAGGCCCTTGCGCTTGCCAGGCAGGCCCTGCACCACTAAGCTACATCCCTGGCCCAGCTTTAGAGTTTTGACTTCAGAATTAACCAAAATCTGACTATCAGTTTCATGCTGACATTAAGGAAATGAAGAGCTATTTTCATTAGTTTATCCTCACTAGTGCCCTCGTGAATTTGTGAGATAGGCCTTCAGAGCAAAGCACACTTAAACATTCACTGTGTTTCTGTTACTAGGATTATATTCTTAAACTTCATTTTTATTACAGTTCAGGACCAGAAGATGACTTTGAATCTTGTATGAGAAATATAAAATCACAGTATGAAGTTTTTCGAAGTAGTAGTAAGTCTTTTAAAAATATTCTCTGTGTATTCAGTTTACTTGATGTCACATTAGAGAGAGGACTGGAGATCGTGGCTCTTTCCTAGAACTTCTTGCCCTTTGATTTGTATTTCCCAGATAAGTTAATTGAGCACTCACAAAGTAAGGAGCAAAGATCACCTCGGGCCATGTTCCTAGATCCCTGCAGGGAGTAGAGTACTCTGTTTTCCATTTCTCGGTCACAGCAAGGGAGGTGGGAGGGAGGAGCACGAAAGTGTACTTGTTTTACTCATTACATATTCATAAGTTTCAAAAGTCGCTGCTGCCACCTCCTCTGCTGCTGGGTGGTGGAAGGAAGCATAGGAATGGTTCCCTTTGAAGATGCCGGCCACCTTCACGTGTTTCCTCTTAGTGTCGGTTCTTTGTCCCTTTTATAATTGGCTAATAAGAACATCACCTGGAGCACCCTATTTGAAAGGCTTATAATTCATTTAAATTTGCATGTTTATTCTTAGATGACCGAAAAGGCCTTTATACCATTCCTACCAGAAACATCCCCATGTAATGACTTCAGTAATTGTTTCTTTCGAAGTCAGAAAGCGTAGCAATATTTGGAGAGATAGTTACTGCAAAAGAAAATAGCTTTGTGGTGAACAAGTAGCAGTGACATGTAATTGTGTCTGGGGTGTATTCTAGGACTCTCCTCAGATGCCACAGTGCTGACACCAAATACAGAAAGCAGCTGTGACTTAATGACCAAGACGAGATCCACCAGTGGAAATGATGACAACACATCCTTAGACCTGGAGTGGGAAGATGAGGAAGGTATTTTAGAATTTACACTTACCTGAAAAGCCTAATCTGTGTGGATTTATGCTAGCCTCCCACATTTAAACTGAAATTAAACAAAAACAAACCTAAAAGTTTTCCTGCACTGTTAATTGCATTAGTAATTATCATTTGTTGATAGATTATTTGACTTTTAATATTTCTTTATTTTATTTTTTTTGAACTGGGGATCGAACTCAGGACCCGTGCTTGTGAGGCAGTCATGGCACCACTGAGCCAAATCCCCAGCCTGACTTTTAGTATTTCTTGAGAATTAGAAAATAAATGTTAAGTTTTTTTCTAATCCCCTCATGACATTACTCAATATGAGAAAGTTAACTTTGGGTTTATCATAAATTAGCAATTTTGTTAGTTATTTTGGTAGAACAAATGCCATTATTCAGATAGGAGTTTTAATTTTAGCTGGTATGTCTTCCCATCTTTAGATTATTTAAGTTCTCTAAACCACAGCTTGTTCATTGTGAAAAAGGAAGAATAAATCTTCCTTAAAGGATAATTTTTCAGTGTTACGCATATTTAGTGTCTAAAATTGCTTGGCATATAATAGCCAGTTAAACAGTATTTGACTAAATAAGTGAATGAATATTGTGAAGATAAGCAGCCCCAGTACAAGGTACTGCACTATTAAGTACTGGAAAATATAGCTAAAGTCTCTGTGTGTGTGTGTGATAAGAAATAGGAAATCGAACAAGAAAGGGGATAGGATATAAAACTTTGAGAAAAATAACAACCATTAAATATTTCATGGACTGCTGAGATGGCACGGGCCTTGGAGATCCTGTCCTGCTCATTTGTTTGTCAAGAAACAAACATTCAGGGAACTTGGATGCCTTTATCAGAGAAATCCACTTTCTTCATTCTTCTCAGTTAAACACTCTTTTTCCAGTCCTGTACTTAACCTTCTTACATATTTGGTTCCCAGTCACCCAACTTAAGTTTAATCTGATAAAAGTTTACTTTACCTCCCGTTGATTTATGTTCAGAATTTGATGTAGAACAGTTTCTTCTAGAAACTTCTGGATTCTTGTGATACAATTACAACACGATGAGGACACAGACTTTGTAACGAGACCAAATGAACTGAATTCCCACTCCCAGGCTGGAATGTAGCTCAGCAATGGAGACTTCCCCAGCATGCACACAGCCTTCAGTTCAATGCCCAGCACCACCAAGAAGGAAGAGGAGAGAGATTCTCGCCCCACTGCGCTATAGCTCTGTGACCTTAACCTCTCTACCCCATTCCTCAATCTAAAGTGGGGTCAGTGCAGCTACCGTGGCGTCACTGGGATTAAATCAGCTGATGGATGTGAAGTGCATGTGTATGAACAGGAGCCCACAGGTGCTGGGAAAGCACATGTCATCTCCAGGGTGACTCATTCTCTGGAAACTGCAGCCATCATCTGGGCAAGGGAAGGACTTTGGCAGACAAACAACTGTTTTGGCCATAGATGACTGAATAGCATTTGAAAGCCTCCATCCATTCTGTTTCTTTGTTTTGTTTTGTTTTGTTTTGTTTTTTCTCATTGAGTTTATTGGTACATTTTAGGTAGACAGTACAGTTACATTCATCACTGGGATCTTGTAGCTTTACATGACAGGTCTTGGTTCTCATTTTTTACCCTTGTCCCTGCCCTCCCTTCACCCCCTCCTCCCTTCCCTATTTATAAACACTTTATTTCTATTTTTTCATTTTCTCGTTTTTTTTCTTTTCCCTTATTACCTGACCCCTACCCTCCCATTTCCCCTACACACCTTTAGCCCTTTTCTTCCTATTTCACACTGTCAATTATATCGTTAGGATCTTATGTGCCATTATAGTTTTTCACACCAGAGACATCCATTCTGTTTGATTCATGGCTCTTCAGAAATTTCTCCTAGGCCTGTGTTCAGTGTTGCGTCAGAACTACCCCTTGGTGAACACTTACCTCTCATACATCAGGATTGGACCCCAGCAGCTTCCCCAGAAGGGCTCCTCCGGGCTTATAGAACAGAGTCTGATAGTAAACAACAGTAGCAACAACTGCACTGTAATTGAGGGGGCTTTTAACACAGCATTTTATCCTCACTGAGACCTTTCGAACTCTGTTCAAATCCCAGGGATGAACAGAATGCTTCCGATGCGAGAACGCTCCAAGACAGAGGAAGACATCCTTCGGGCAGCACTGAAGTCCAGCAGCAAGAAGACCGGAAGTAACCCCACGTCTGCCTCCGATGACTCCAATGGGCTGGAGTGGGAGAATGACTTCGTCACTGCCGAAATGGATGACAATGGCAATTCCGAGTATTCCGGACTTGTAAATCCCGTGTTGGAGCTGTCTGACGCTGGCAGAAAACAGTCGGATGCAGATCAGCAGATTCGATAGAGTGAAACTGTTTGACCCTGTTCATCAGTTCTGACCAAATGTTAAAAACCCACCAGAGCTGTGGTTTGCTGAGCCTTGTTTCAGGGCGTTGAGGAGCCATGCTGTAAATGCTCATTTCATTAGGAAGGTGTAAGAGTGGTGGGACAGATCTGAATTGCTTCAGAATTAAGTGCAATTTTATCATCTGCCTTCTGCATTTTAAGACCAATTCAATGGTTGTCAGGTTATCAATTAAATTTCTATTAACTGTAGCGTTCGTGTTCACTCTTGTAGATTTTCCCATTTTAAAAATCTTTATTAATTTTACTTTGAATGCTTTCCCGAGCCTATTTCTTTATCTATTGTGAAAATATTACAGTATTTTTTCGTGAATTCTCAGCAGATATGAAGGAAGCGTGAGGAGTGTTTATCAGGTTCAGACTTAGAGTGGTTTCCCTTTCCTGTCCGAGTTTATTCTAGGACTTCTTAGAATTCTGTTATCTAATAGGAAGCACAATGATTTGAGTAGATGACTTCAGAAATGCTGAAGGATCAGTTTCTTCCTCATTTGTTACGTATCCTAGTATGGTGATACGGATTCAATCTGAACAAAATATCAAAAAAAATAAGTTTTCAGAGTTTGGACATTTTAAGTTGGTAATAAATATTTTTTTAAATATATTTAGGATTTCTACTTCTTTTACATGAAGCTATATTGATTTTAAATTGATATATTGAGTTTTTAGGTGTTATTTTTTAACTTCTGTTCTTCCAACAAGTGATCTTAGAAAGATTTTACACAGAACATTATTCTCTGAATGACTTAAAGAAAAAGTGTATAAAGGTAATACGGGTATTTCAAAGTAAATAAAATCCTTTCTGGTGTGAAAGGCCCTGATTTATTACACTTTCCTCTGCCTGGTAGCCCGAGGTGCCCTGAGGGTGGGAGCATCGTTACTATGTAAACTGCATCTTGGGATGGACAGTTCAGCTCTCTTAGCCCTCAAGTTTGCCCGTCAGTAGAAAAGTCGGAGATGTGGAACACCCCTAACCGCTTTCCTTGATCTTGCTGAGGATTGAGTATGATTGGAGTAAGCAGACTCTTTCTGTTTTCCTTCTCTTGCAACAGTGACAGTGCATGTTCTCAAAAATATAGGAAGGTCCAAAAGTAAATAGTAATTTAAAGTTCTTGCTGTATTCAAAAAAAATCACATGGCCCTTTCAATACTTGAACTGCTAGGCAATGACACATAGTTTTATTTTGTCCTTTTTTAATCTCATAGAAATAACTGACACTTTAATATGTAAATACAGTAATTAGCTAATGCTGTTATTTATGTCAATTTAGGTTGCAGCTGTGTCCTTCGAAATATTGAAAAGTACTCCCTTCACATTGCCTGTGTAACGCTTTCTAAGGTTTATACACATCAGATGTATATTTTTGGTTGGCATAAGGTACTACTGTAATTTTTCTTTTGGGTTCATAAAGAATTTTCTGATGGAATGATAACTTCTCAAGGATTGTGAATAAACACATTTTTACATTTAAAAATAAATTAGTTATTTCTGGTTTAACTCTAAAAATGCAGGTATTCCAACTCCCGACTTGTTATTTTACTAAATCTGATGTGGAAAAAAAGCAGTAAATTAGGAACGGACGGTGGAACAAAACTTGAAAATGTGTTCTGAGATTCTCAAGTTTTTGCTTTATGTTTATAAACTAGAAATATTTCTTAAGCAAACATCGGGATTGGGTTTAGAAACATAGCAGTAAAAATACCGCACGAGATCCCTGTTCAGAAAGACACAGCCCGGCAGCGCGCCGACGGCGGCCCGGCCCAGAAATGCTGGAGAGGCCGCATTCTCGGCCGGAACCAGCAAGGCGTCCAGGCGGCGAGAGCAGGTGTGCAACATCCCCAGTGCCGCGTGGGGCTTAGGCCAGGCGGCTGCGGAGATTCAGAGACCGCGAGTCGCTGAGCGAATGGCAGTGGCGACCTCGCTCACTGCGCGTCCACATCCACGGAGGCAGCGAGTCCTGTGGCCTCCCTGGGTCCCGGCCCTCAGAGGCGCTGCCGGGCCATTCATCATCCGCCTCTGCTGCCGGAGGTGGCAGCCCGAGGCAGCTCCTCCTGCACTCGAAGGCCGCAGACTCCACCTCACGATGGTTCGGTCCAGATCCAGGCCGCAAGACCGGCTGTGGTTTGGTTGGCTCAGCGGCTACCCTCCCTACACCACCCTTCCACCGTCGTCTTTCAGGGACTTCGCTGGGGACGGGGCTGTCGAACCCACGCTGCTGCTGTCTGCTGCCTGTGTGCGCGGTAACAAGTGTGTGGCCCTCCTCCCTCCTGGCCAGCCAGGACTGTGGCAGCCGAGGTAGCTGCATCCTGCACCCGCGGCCGCCTCCTGCACTGACGGAATGTCCTGGGAGGGTCGGTCCGAGGCACTGCAGAAGCGGAGGGCCCGCTTGGGAAGCCAAGGGTGAGGTGCCGAGGAGGTGTGTGGACGAAAATGTCAGGCGACCCCAGGGTGTTGTCCTGCAGCTCAAAGAAGAGGTCTAGGTCCAAGTGTGGGAGTCGAGTGGGTGAGCATGGGCCGGGGATTTGGCCCAGTGGTTCCAATGCCTTGCAGGCACAAGGTCCCAAGTTTGATCCCCGTATATTAAAAAAAAAAAGATTTAGGTGAGCAGTATTGGGGTTACCACACTAGCTGAGCTCACCTCAAGGAAGTGGGCGGGTGGACAGGGCTAACTCCTCTAATGCTGACCTGTGGAGACTGCGGGCAGTCTGAAGAGGCAGTACAGGGAACTGCGGAGACCCAGAGAATGTAGGTTCATAGGTGCCGGGATGGAAGCCAGGGGGTAAAGGACAGTGGGCCGTGTAGACATTGTACCGGAAAAGGTTTACTTCCAGAGAACACAGAGATGTAGCTGGTGGAGATGTGAAATTGCGTGAGGGTTTTTACTTAAGAAATGGGATTATTTGGAATTATTCTAAAATGGTACTATTTGGAATTATACCTGCTTTCTTTCAGTAATTGAATAGATATATTATTCTAGTAGAACTATTTTAGTTTACAGAAAGGTACCCTGATTATAATTTCTCTACAGATATCTGGGGAAAAAAATTTTTACATTGAATATGTTTTCCTTCTTTTACTTGGTTCCTCCTGTTATTATCTGACTCTAGAAAGCACAAAGGAATTTTTGACAAACAGAATTCCTGCTCTGATTCATATATCTGTAGGAAATATTAAAGTTGAAAATGAAATTAGAGGAATGGTAAATACCATATGAAAGTTTGTAATATTACAAATTAAGGGTTTTTTCTGACACACAGATGATGTCTTCTGTAGACAGTTCAGAAATTTTTATGTCTGACCCTTAAATGAGCCTGGGACTGCTGTGCCCTTCTGAGCTCGGTTCCCCTCCTCTGGGTTCATCTCACCCAGACCCAGGAGGGGGCGCTGTCTTAACGCTTGTTTTTCAAAAAAGGAGCCTGGGTTAGTGTCCGCCTACACAGGAAGTGGGAGATAACACCCAGGCTGTATGATTCAGAGCCCACACGCAGCGCTATACCTCGTGTAGAAACTGGGTCAGAATTTCTTGGAGTGGTTTGGTTTTGAGGGAAGTTTTTTGGTTTGGGGTTTCTTTTCTTGGGGGAGTGGGTGTTTGTGTGTGTGTGTGTGTGTGTGCGTGTGTGTGTGTGTGTGTGTGTGTGTGTGTGTGTGTGTGTGTGTGTGCGTGTGTGTGTGTGTGTGTGTGTGTGAGTGTGTGTGTGTGTGTGTGTGTGTGTGTGTGGTATTGTGATTTGAGGCTTGTTGTGTTTTTTTGCTTAGGTAAGGACACCTGACGTGGTACTGTCACAAAAAGGCATGTCCGCCACTGTCTAACCTGTTTCTGTTGTATCTGGGCTTTTGAGCAATGATTTCACTGAGCCGGCTTCTCCCAGGCCCCTCAATGGCCTTCCAGCTGTGGTACAGAAAGGAACCCCCAGCAAAGCTGGAGCCTCTCCTCCCACCGTCGGCCAGAACTCCCCCAAGTTCCCGCTTGGAGGTGCAGCACAAATGAATGTTTCCACGGACAGGGAACAGTGGATGGGTGACTGAACTTGGGACAACTGAGTTGGACAAGAAGCCCAGCAACTACAGCCACACTTCATAGCTCTCACCCTTAGTCACCACCGAGGATGGAAAGTCACGGTTTCAGTCATGACACAATGCCATAGAGGCCACACCTGCTATTGTAACAGATGACAGTTAATACAAGGGAATCAACGTGTGGAACTGAGATGGATCAGGGGTCACGAGGTATCTCCTCATAGTAAGAGTGTGGTGATTTTTCTACAAGACATGAACATTATACACATGTATATAAAATACAGTAAAGGTGAAGCTTAAGCAAACACATGCTCCATCCCACCTCTGTTGAAACATGTACCACAGGAAAATCGATTCCTGAGGACAAAGGAGTCCTCCGGGTGTACAGTGAAAGGTTCACAACTTGGCTGCGGTGGCTGCTGTCAAACACCAGGACTTTTGTTTGCCACCCCACTGTGGACATTCTCTAAGAAAGTGCTTTTGCTGTCCACACGGCCATTGACTGGAGCCACTCTTGTAAGATGTGACCAGAGTCAATGCACTGAAAGGTGAGCACAGAACCCACCTGAGCCTTACCTGGAGCTGGAACCTCTGAACAATCGAGGACATGGAAATCTGTATGCAGAACTGGGACAGAGGTAAGTGAATGACTCGAAATGCTCATTTCTCCCTGTGTTCTGAGAGAATTATGCTGCCCTTTAGCCACACCTCTCTGTGCAGGTGACTGTGGCAGAAATCTGGTTTGTGATCAGCCGTAATTCCACCATTATCCATGGGAATCAGGCTTCAAAAGTGTTTCCATTCTGTGGAGAACAGAAGTTACTATTCAGCAGCCCGCTCCTTATTTCTTAAGTTCGAAACCTTTCCCACGATAAACAGAGAAATCGTTAACTATTCTATGTGAACATGGTATCACCTAGCACACTGTTTAGGTTCAGTAGCAATGATACAGGAATTCCTTAATATTAAAACTTTGTGGTTTAATCAATTATCCAGCCTCAAAGATAAGAAACAGAAGTGAAAATTCTTCCAAAGTGTGACACCGCTTACACTTTAAAATACCAGTGGCTGTACAGAGAAACTCCGCTGTAAGCGATTCTGACAAGCTAGGCGGCCTGGTTTGTAAACACTCAGGCGGGAGGCCTCAGTGCTAGGAGGGACTCCTGCTTCAACAAACTGCTGCAGGTTAGTGGCACAAAGCAACACACTGTATCATCTTAGACCCGGACCCCAGGCCTCCCTGCGTGGAGTCCCACGGACTCAGCCTCCTGTTAGGGAGGCTCCCCAGCATCCCACGGTCCTGGCATGTCTTCCAGCTTGGGAGGGACTCACACTCCGGCCCTGGCCTCCCTCCCATCTTCAAAGCCTGTGCCGCAGCTAAGTCCTTGTCACGCTTCACGCTGAATTCCCTTTTGGCCTCTCCCGCTTTCAGGACCATGGGCTTGGCTGGTCCACGTCACCCAGGGTGGCCACTCAGTTTCAAAGTTGACAGACAAGCAGCACTGACCGCATTGCACCCTTAATTCCCTTTCCTGGGAGACATCATGCCCAGGCACTAGCGGTTGGCACAGGGACACCTGGACACCTTTGGGGAGGCCAGCTGTCACTCTGCCTACCCCAGGAAGAGGCCAGGGGACCAGATGTAGGACCAGAAGTGTCATCCAGGCCGCTGTGAGAGGGAGGCTGAGGGGCAGGATGTCACACTGTAGACACCTGTAATCCCAGCACTTGGGAGGCTGAGGCAGGAGGATCACTATGAGTTCCGGACCAGCCTGGGCTCCATAGTGAGTTCAAGGCCAGCCTGGGCTACAGAGTGAGACCCTGTCCGCAAAAGCAAGACCAACAAAATTAGAAAATATATACATATAAAAGGTTTAGTAGGGTTACCATTTATTTGGTTAAGAGGCTAGGAAATTTATTTACTTATTTTAGAAAAATTGTTACCAATTTTTTTTTCCAAAAAAGATTTTTGTAAGCAGAAAATTTCATTTACTTGAAAATTATACAGGGAGCTTCACTGCTAGTGCCAGAATTCAACATAACAGAAGTATAATCATTCTTATCTATATAGCAATCAGTAGCATTTGTTTTAACCTCACAAAAATTAGTTGAGTGAGAATATTTTAAAGACAACTTTATTGGAAGCTAAAATTTTAGAAATATTTAAACATTTATTGTAAATATTCACATTTATTTATATAGAGCACCATTAGAAACAGAGGGATAAACAATTAAACTTCAACTTTATTATGTGCCTGGATGTTAAAATTTTGAATTCATCAAATTTTAAAGTTATGTAAAACAAAAATCAAATTTGGTAAGAAAATAATCCTAGTTGAAGTGGTTCTTTAAAATGTTTAAATCTTAGTTTTAGGTACTGAAGAGACTAGGAGATGTCGTTGCAGGGATAAACTCTATAATTCCAGTGGAAATTAGTGAATTACTTCTCAAGTAAGGCTTCCCACTTGAGACCACAGTGACGCACTGACAGCAGTGTCCGGCCTTGGGCCACTCCTGTGTGTACAGGTCCTGACAGGCTGCAGGACTCTGGAAATCAGCGGCTGCTCTGAAAGGACCAAGCCAAGACACGGGTGGGAGGGAGACTGGAGTCCAGCAGCAGAAGATACAACCTTAACAACACAGTTCCTCCTCGCAAGGGATCGTTTTATACACTGACCCTTCGGGTGTACGGTTCTTCAGAGACCTAGGAAAGCAACAGGTGAGCCAGCTGGTGACTCTCAGATTTTCCACTCCACAGCGTGGTGGGGACCGTGGCACACGACACCTGCCGTCTCCACGGCCCCAGCCTCCGTGTGGCCTCAGACCCTGTGCTCACCACTCGTTTTCATCCATTTCTGTGGGGAAAGAGCTCTGAGCGGAGCCAGATGAGCAGCGGCCGTCCTCAGGGATGGGGCTCTGTGCCGGCCAGCTGTTTTCTTGCAGGAGTGGTCTCGGGGAAGAAATAAATTGGGTTTCGAAAGACTCCAAGGACTCCCCATCCTCCTTCTCCAGCAGGAACTGGTACTCACCAAACCGCACCATGCACCTGTAGGGCAGGTCCATCTTGTTGAGGTAGCCCAGCTCCTGGCTGTCCACAATCAGGCTGGTCTTCCTACTCAGATTTTTAATTTCAAAGGAAAGAACAGAGCTGTTGAACTGCTTAAATGGATGAAGAGAAAACTGCACTCTGGATGCCTGCTTGTCCTGGAAAATATAATGACAGGTGCCGGAATTGCGTCCGAATTTCACCACTTCACTGGACGGCAGTTTCTCCCTCTTGGAAAAATTGATGGATTGAAATATTCCCTTCTGCAACTGGCAGGGATGGTAAACAGTCAGCTGGAGACAGGTGACTGTCTCTTCCGTGTCGGCGTCTTCAAAGCTGGACATGATGTCCCAGAGCCCAGCCTGCCACAGTGGACCAAGTCAGCTCACACCCACACTGCACGCTGAGAGCTTCACTGCTGATGCTCTGACGAAAATCTTCTGACAGTGATTTGTTTAGACTTCAAGAAAACAGTACATAGAATACTTTCAATTAATTGATAAATGTGTGGAATTTTACACCAAGGCTTTTTTGGTTGTGGTTTGTTTTTTTTTGTTTTTTTTTTTTTTTTTTTTTTTTTTTTTTTGGTGTTGGTTTTTTTTTTTTTTTTTTTTTTTTTTTTTTTTTTTTTGGTACTGGGAGTAAACCAAGGGGCTTTGCACTGAGCTACATCCCAAGCATTTAAAAAATTTTTATCTTGAGACAGGGTCTTGCTAAGTCACTAAGTTGTCCAGGCTGTGTAGAACTTGCCATCCTCCTGCTTCAGCCTCCCAGGGGCTGGAATTATAGGTGTGTGCCACCACACGCAGCTTCTCTTTGATTTTGTCTCTAGTTCAAGCATAAACATACATATAATCTGGATGATAATAAGGAATGATCACTTACAATAGCAATGCAAGGGAAGCAGAAGGAAGCCACAGTTCCTCTCCCATTTAAACAGAGCAACTTGGGCCAAAGAAAATAAGAGAGTTACACTGTAAAAAGAGAGTCAGAAAATGAAGGATCTCTTTGGCTGGACCTAACATAAAGAAAACCTACAGTTTATTAACCACATTCCAATGAGACTATCAGAAACTGTAAAAACTCGGTTAAATAAGAAATTTTAAAGTTACAAACAGCCAGGGATTTAGCTCAGTGGTGCTGCTGCCTGCCTCAAAAGTGCAAGGTCCTGAGTTCAAACCCCCCTCCAAATGGTTAAAAGCTGCAAACAAACAACTGCAGCATTTATCGTCATATCCTTATTCCTAGTCTGTGAATGATTTAAACTAGTAAATGCTTTTAAATAGTTACCATGTTCTATAATTTTTAAATGTAGACATCACATTCTTTGAAAACAATCTTTAAAACATGTAAATACCACAGTCTGCACATCTGGCACTGCAGTTGCTTGTTTTTTGTCAATGGTTTCTAGAGACCAGGTGACCAAACGGTCATAACCACAAATGTGGAGACCCAACTGCAGCTCACCACACCCATGGCCACTGGCCCCAGGTGTCCCCACTCTACTTTGTGACTCGGGCCTCTGGTGGAGCAGGCATAGCCCTGTGCCGGGGAGGAGAACTCATTCCTAGGATCTGTGAAGTTCTATGACACAAGGCTGCCCGCTGAAGACAAATTCAGTCCTAAAATCTCAGGCATCTGATTGAAAAATTCAAACATAAAAAAGGGTTTAAAAACAAGACGCTTCCCCCACCCTAGCCCTTTGCCTTTCTCTCCTACTATAAATGTTGCTTTAACCTTACAGAAAGTGTTGTCACACAAGCATTATGCACACACACACACACATTTCTCCACAGAGAAACATTTTCGTACACAGATGAAAACATACTACACTTAGTTTCTGCATTGTTCAATCAGTAACAGACAGGCATGCATCGTCCACATCTGCCCGTGTCAGTGGACCTCACTCTTTAGGCCCAGATCTGCTTTAATCCATTGTGCTGAGACAGCCAGACTGAACTGCAGCTCCGTGCCTTGATTCCTTGAACGACTCTAATTTATGACTGGGACCCCGGCTTGCAGATCCAGTCTTTTGTAAGGGTGATTTGTAGTCTTTGTTTGTTTGTTTGCCACCCATATTAGATGTTGGTATAAAAACTGTGCTGGTTCAAACAAAACACAATATCTTTATTCCATTTGTATGACAGCTGCTATTTCCTTTTTTTTTTTTTTTTTTTTTTTTTTTTTGGTACCAGGGATCGAACTCTGGCCTTTACACTTGTGAGGCAGGCACCAGAACCAATGAGCTAAATCCCCATCCCTGCTGCTGTTTACTTTTAAAATACAAACTTTCGTTCTGTTTTGCAAAGCTTTGCTGCTAAAAAATCACCCTCAGTTTATTCAGTTATTCAATGAATGGCAAAGCTAAGCAAAAATTCTTTTGTTTTGATTTGGAAATTTACTTTTAATTTAAATGTACACTCATTATATATTTCTTGAACATTATTATATCACATTGGACTACCTAAGAGACATCTCACTATACAGCAGTTATAGCAAAAGTGAGAGAGAGCTCCATAAATCTCATGCCAAGAGTAGTTGAAATAACTATGAAACCAAACCAGCAAGAACTAACACACAATGGGTAATCTGTGCAGTGCTGTGATCTAAAGACACTTTAATTATGACAATAAAGTCTCACTCTTCAAGAAGCAGATGGCATAAAAGAATAATTATAAGTACAGGATGATGCAATCAGCAATTGACAAGAAAAGAATTTGCCGTAGTAATTTCCACTTTTATGTTTTCCTGTTTGTTCTAAAATTTTTCACAGTAAACATGTATTGCACTTAAACAATAAAAAATCTAAAAAATATTTGGTGTTAAGAAGCAAAGAACCCCAAAAAGAAACAAGGATCTGTCATCTGTGGCCAGAGGTGTCTGGGCTACTCTGCCCATGTTCTAGCTCATGCCTGGGGTCCAAAAGGGAGCAAATTAAAACTCAGCCTGCACTCTGCATGTGCAATAGCTATATCTTGGCTCGGGAGCTTATAATTGACCTTTCAAGTAAACACATCAGCAAGAAAAGTTTGTCCCTGTATAGATGCCTGGTACCCAGGGAAGCCGTATCGCCCACTGTGCTGGAAAAAGCATTGCACTCTCGTTTGTAAATCAGGGGCTACAAGTGCCTCGGCGAGAGTTAGTTCTAAGGGTTTGATGAACCAGGGTTTGGTTTTAGTTCCCATTTGTTGCAAAGTCCCTCTAAAAACTGGCCTGACTCCCTGCCATTTCAGCATGGTCAGTAGAAAAATTGGAAACAGAAACTAACAAGTAGCTAAAATAATAAATGTAAGATTGGTGGACTTCAAAAACAAAGGCCAGCTATGTGCAGGGGTTCAAAAGCCTTTTGAAAGCTGTCGACCTTAAACAACATCATGGTAAAAGCAGAGGTCGTCTCTGAGGAGAGAACCAGGGTACAGCACGGGAAGGAGGTTTATTTTTCACCACACACTCAATTCTCAATTCCGTTGGGATCTTATACCATGGGCGTTAAGAACGACTCAAACATTTAACCGTTTGTTCTTTGCAGAAATCCCACTTGGCTGGATTGTGGTTGGAGAGTTACAAAGTATCATTAGATGGTGAACTGTGGTATCTAACATGCAAAGCAGTTAAAACAGCAACAGTGTCTCACCGATAAGATGTAGGTGTGGAAGGACAGGCAGATGAGACGCAGAACTACAAAAAGTTCTCTCCGGGGACCGCGGCACTCAAGTCTCCCAGGTCAGAAGAGCGAACCGAACATCAGGGAGAGGACAGCAGGGAGCGTCCACTTACCGAGGCTTGGAGCTCGGTTCCGGAGGCCTCGCTTCTGACTCCCTTCAGGGAAAGCGAGAGTGGGAGCGCGCGCGGCCGTCATTCGTGGGAACCCCGCGTGAGTCCCCGCCCGCGCGGCCAGGATCCTCCCGCCAGGGCGGCG